ATTAGTATAAACAAAAGCATGGCCTCTGTGTTCTTATCCTGGCTTTTCACTTGTGTCACCAAGATACTGATTCTTTGAGGTAGAAACACCATTATCTTGAATGAGATAAAATGATTAATTTCAATAATGTAGGTCAAATACGTACTTATGTGACATTCAAAATTAATACTGTGGTATTACTTCAAAATATGAAATGTTAACTACAGCTTTATTGAAGCCTTTGCCTAGAATTTTGCTACCATCAAAGTCAGTGGTAATTTTAATATGAAAGTTCTTCAGAAAAAAGAGTGAACTTACGTTTTAACTTTCAGACCTGTTCAGTACTTGCTTATTGTGTTTAATGCATAGGACACAGGGATGCTCAGAATTATTGAAAAATCAAGTAACTAGAGGTTATACATCATACAGTGGAAATAATAATGGTGGGTTATTTAATACAGTCAAATCCTGTTATCTTATTTCTGTAGACAGACCCACTGAAATCCTAAATCAATTGGAAAAGTCATCGTACCTTCCTTTCCTAGAAGGGATAATACATAAAAATAGATAAGCCCATATACTTTCTACTAGTTTTCATCGTGTTACTGCAGATAATAATGACCAGATGTTGCCATGCACTTCTGTATAATGCTTCCATTCTTTTAATTTGGCTGCTTAAAATGTTTCATATTGTGAACATGCAGCTGAAAGATATTTAAGACTTTGAAATAAAGACTGTTCATTAAAACTGTGCTTATACTGAGGAATTCTCACTGTGTTTGCGAACTGATTGTACAAATACTCCTTTGTTTAGAAGAACATACATTAGAGTTGGGGTTTTATTACTAACATTAGATGGCCATTTGCTTTCTTGTTTTTAAATATTGGGCTCACTGCATCAGAAGCTTTCTGGATCAAATGTGTATTAATCAGACTTAAACCTGTTCTATGAAAATTTTGATTTTGGCTTTCTGCCTGATCCTTTGGTTCAGATTGATATTGGCCACACTGGGTTTTAGTATAAGGTTAAGTATTTGTACATCTTCATGCAGTGACACAAAAATGTGTAATAGTAAGAAATTAAGTATGTTTCCATATTTTTCTTTATTATTTGCTTAATTAGCAATCTGAGTGTGTACTATAGTCACGAAAGTATCTTGTATTCTCATGTATCATGGCTGGGCTTCGCGAACAAAAATTTAGGAAGGCTCTATCCACGTTTGTTACAAACACGCTGGTGGCTTATGAGGCCAATACGAGATAGACATATCCAATTGCAAAAGGCACAGCAGAAAGACTCCTTAGATGGTAAATTCTGCAAGGCACGATTCTTTCTGTATTGTCTTTTCTCCTTGAGAGTGATCCTGCGTGCTTTCTCAAAGGCATCAGCAGTGTTATAGATGGTGTGTCTCCAGGTCTCCCGATTGGAGGCCAGAGTAGACCAGTTATGGTGATCAATATGGCCAAGGCTGAGATGTTGTTTCAGGGAGTCCTTGTATCTCCTCTTCGGGGCTCCTCTCTTGCGGCAGCCGGTGGCAAGTTCACCATAAAGCAGGATCTTAGGGAGGCGGTGGTCCTTCATCCTTGAGACGTGTCCTGCCCAACACAGCTGTGTTCTCAGCAACATGGCCTCAATACTTGTGACTGCTGCTTGTTCTAGAACAGATGTATTGGTCACATAATCTGACCAGTGGATGTTTAGGATTGTTCGGAGACAGCGTTGATGGAAGTGTTCTAGGAGACGCAAGTGGTGGCGGTAGATGATCCATGATTCGGAACCATATAAGAGAGTAGACAGCACTATGGCTCTGTAAACACTGATCTTTGTACTTTTCTTCAAGTGTTTATTTCGCCATACTCTTTTGTGGAGTTTTCCAAAAGCACTGTATGCCTTTGGTAACCTGTTGTCTATCTCTCCGTCAATCTTACCATCTGAGGAGATGAGGCTACCTAGGTAATTAAACTGCTGGACTGATTTGAGCTCTGATTGGCCAATGGTGATATGGGGATGAAGGAAGACTTCCTGAGGTGCTGGTTGATAGAGAACTTCTGTCTTCTTTAAACTGACTTCCAGCCCAAAAAGCTCAGCAGCATCTGCAAAGCAGGATGTTAAACGCTGCAGAGCTGCTTCTGTGTGGGCAACAAGGGCAGTGTCATCAGCATAAAGCAGCTCCTGGACAAGATGGTTTAAGGTCTTAGTGTGGGCCTTCAGTCGCCTTAGGTTCTACTGCTTGAAGAAATGAGCACATTTTAAGTGCCTGCCAAAATACATTTTAAACTTTTGGTCTCTATGCTGGTTTAAAATAAACTAGGGGTAGAAATGAACCGAACTCAAGAGAGATTACAAGTCACAGTTAAAATTTACTAAAAATATTACAATAAATACAATGATACAGAGAAAACGGGTTTTAACTCCCAAAGACAGATGTATAACCCATCACCCTGGGACAAGAACAGAATGGTGTTCATTAGTCCCCGTGCTGAGCACCACGTGGCCCCCTGGATGCAAAATAAAAGGAAAAGAAACCTGTTGGCTTTGCTGATGGTCGCAGTTCTGTCAAAGTAAAAATCGCAGTCTTGTTGAGAGTGGCAGTCGCAGTCCTGTTGAAGTTACGGTCCTCCTCTGGATCTGATGAACGGTACCAATGTCACAAAACCCGAAGATTATATGTGCTTGGGTTCAGATGGGAATGCCCAGTACCTCCCCCAGGGCGGGGAGTTTCACAATGGTTTATTTAACTCTGTGAGTCATGGGATATTTTTGAGATCTTTGATGGTCTAGGTTGTTGCAGCTGACTATTATGCCAGTCCAGTATGGCCCATTAGCAGAGATGAGCCCTCAGGCTAGGTGTGAAGGTGCTAATGCCTCCCTGGAGGAGAGTTATCACAGCTGAGTCAGTGTGTGAAGACAAAGAAAATGCTCATCGCAGGATTCTTTAACACCCAGCTTGTAGCCTGAGGTGTCAGGTGTACCCTGGGCAGCTGCTGCAAATGATCCATTATTAACAGTCCATCAGAAATGACAGAGAAAGTGTAGAGTACACAGTTTTGGTTATACCCACATAGTAATAAACTGGTCCTGGCCCCTGTAATTAGGACAGTCTCATAGATCATCCCATTAGGCAAGAAAGGAGAGGTGGTGGTGTGGTTCTGTACATTAGGGAATGTTTCAATTGTATAGAGATCAAGGATAGTGATAAGTTTGAGTGCCTATAGGTAAGAATCAGAGGGAAGGCCAACAAGGCAGATGTCCTGGTGGGATTCTGTTATAGACCACCCAACTAGAATGAAAAGGCAGACAAAGCATTCTACAAGCAGCTGGCAGATGTCTCATGATCACTGGCCCTTGTTCTTGTGGGAGATTTTAACTTGCCAGATGTCTGCTGTAAACTCAACACAGTAGAGAGGAGGCAGTCTAGGAGGTTCCTAGAGTGTCACCTTCCTAGAAGGTAACATCCTGGCAGAGCAGGTGTGTGAAGCAGCAAGGGAAGATGCCCCACTGGACCTGCTGTTTGTGAACAGAAAAGGACTGGTGGGTGATGTTGGAGGTTGTCTTGGGCATAGTGACCATGAACTGATAGTTTTCAATTCTTGGTGAAAGAAGAAAGGGGGTCAACAAAACCTGCGCCATGGGCTACCAGAGGACAGACTTCGGCCCCTTCAGGGCACTGGTTCGAACGGTCCTTGGGGAAAGAGTCTTTAATAAGAAAGGAGTCAAGGAAGGCTGGATATACTTTAAGAAGGAAATATTAAAGGTGCAGGATCAGGCTGTCTCCATGTGCTGAAAGACAGCCAGCAGGGAAAAAGACCAGCTTGTCTGAATAGGGAGCTTTCGCTGGGACTCAGGGTGAAAAAGAGAGGTTTTGACCTTTGGAAGAAGTACTCAGGAAGAATACAAGGGTGTTGTTAGGTCATGTAGAGACAAAATTAGAAAGGCAAAAGCTCTGCTAGAACTCAATTTAGCCACTGCTGTGAAAGATAATTTAAAGAGTTTTTACAAATAAATTAACAACAAAAGGAGGGCCAAGGAAAAATCTCCATACTTTATTGGATGCAGAGGGAAACGTTGTAATTAGCAAAGCCAGCTGCTTCTGTCGGTTCATCTGCCGATACTTTGTTGCTGGATTAAATGGTGGTTGTTGGTGCTCTTACCGGCCTCGGACCGCTCCGGCGCCGGAACATACTGCAGCGTCCATGCCGCGGGCGCCGGTGGAGGCTGCGCCAATATCCGGTGAATTACGGCGGCACCGGGGACTCCCGCGGCGGGGGCGGGGCGGAGAGCGCGCTGGGGATTCCCGGCCCCGCGCAGAACGTTCGGGATCGTTCCCGTGACGTCACGGCGGGGGCGGCCCCGGGAAGCCCCGCCCGCCCCTCCCCCGGGGCTCACGCCGGGGGGGACGAAGGGTGGGGGTGTTGCGCGGCGGTTCTCGCGAGGCTGGCGCGGGGCGCGCGCAGGGGGCACTGCGGCGCTGAGGGGCGCCATTTTGAGCGAGCGAGGGGAGCGCGCTGTGCGTGTGTGTGCGCGCGCCCGTGCGTGTGTGCGCGCGCCGGTGCATGTGCGCGCGGCTGGCGAGCGGAGGGGGGAGCGACGACCGCCGGGGGTGCCCCGGAGGGAGCAACCAGGATACCCCTGGGATAACCTTCGGATACCACCAGGATACCCCCGGGACGTCCCCGGGATACGGGCACAGCAGCCGCGGAGCAGCCGAGCCGCCCCGCTTTGCTCCGGTCCCTCCCCCGCCGCGCCGCCTGGCCCGCCCTCGGCGAGGGCGGAGGGAGCCGCTCCCCGCGGCAGGAGCGGGGCGGCTCCGTGACGGTGTGGGGTGGCGGGGCCGCAGCGAGAAGCCGTGCCCCGGGAGCGGGAGTCTGTGCCCGCGCCCCCCCTGGGCCGAGAGAGGCGGCCCCGGCCGCGCAGGGGTTCCAGCTGCTCCCGCGGGAGGTGTCCCGGGCCCAGGTCAGCGCTTCCCGCCCGGCGCCTTCTGGACAGCTGTTCACCTTTCCCAGTAAAACGAGAAATGACCCTTTTCTTTCCCTCTGGATTATTTTTTCTCTTCCGTCCCCAAGCCCACCCTCCCTTTCTCGTCATCCCTCTCCTGCCGTTTTTCTTTCGGGAATGAGAAACAGAAGAAGGGTGTCGCTGATAGGCTGTGCTCTCCGTCAAACATCCCTGCCGCCCTCTCCGGGATGTGAGTGGAGGTGTAACCGAGGCTTCCGCTCTCGGGTTTGGCATCCGTGTTTGCTTTTTAAGATCCAGGTTTCTGTTTGTTTCTGTTTTTAAGATTCAGGTTTGTGGGGTATTGTTGTTTTGTGTTTGTCTAGCACCAGTCCAGATTTCGTAAAGGAACACTGATTATTCTGCTTCTTTTTACCATAGGCGGCGTGGACGACAGAGGGAATCCTGGATGTTTTACAGCCTTTTGCTCCAGCTGGTAGAGGAGAAAAAAAGGTTCACGCTGACCTGCAGCAGTTGCTTCCTGTGAAAGGGGAGAAATACCGGACACCGTTCTGGGATTATTTTTGCGTGCTGCGTCCTGAAAAGGCTTCTCAAACAATCAGCAGGCATCTGAGAAGAGAATTGAAGAAGTCGTGAGATTTTTTTATTTCAGTCAGTGCCGAGCACATCACCCCGGGATCTTTTGTCCTCATGGCATTGATACATTGCTAAATTTATCAAATTCTGAATACTTCAGCTGCCAAAATAAAGTGCTTTGTTGTTTTTAGGTATGCTTACTTCTAGGCAGCATTCTGGCTGAGTCATAGGCATAACCAGTTTTGTTAACTGGATCCAGGTTAAATGTGGCCTGACTCACTGTGTTGACATTGCTGAAAAGTTTCATGGCAGATATTTTTTCCCCCTTACTTTATTTTTTAGATTTTTTGACATAACCTTCTTCCATTTTGCAGTGAGACCCATTTTCTAAATGAAGAATCTAACAGACGTTTATCATTTTTTCCTTTATATTTCATGTAGTATTTTTGCTGAAAAATGTTGTTGCCAATAAGCAGTATGGAGGTATCCAGATAGCTGTTGTTTACGAACACCTCTGTTACGTGAAGCTGGGAAATGTTCTACGGTTCGTATGTGAAAGTTGGATTTTTGGCTTCACAGTTTGTGGTGTAAAACGTGTATATATTTTACCTGGAGCTGATGCCTCTTATAGTGATATTTACATGGAATAGACAAGACAAAAAGCTGTCAGAGACAAGAAAAGATTTTTAAAACAGACCGTTGGCAAACTTTGTAAATAGCCTTGTTGAATCTGTAAAAAGAAGGATGGATAGCTGATTTCTGTGAGGTCAAATTTATGTCAGAGTGCTACGAATGTAGTATCAACGGGAACTCGGGATATTATCTCAAGGAAAACAAACTGGAAAAATACAGATCTCACAGTACCAACACCTTGTGTCGTCCTCTTGAATTAGGTAAGTGCTGTAGTGTTCATAAATCCATTTACAGTTGAATAAACCTTTTATCAATAGAACAGTTAAAATGGTAGTGTTTATTGCCTAGACGTTGGTGTTTGGGGTTTGTTTTCGAGAACCTCGAAATGAGCTTGTTAATTTTTATTTGCTGCTTTTTATAATTAATGGAATACTTCTTTATGAATTTGAAGAATACATGTACAAGGAGAAGCGTGTAGGTAGGATTTTTATGGGAGATTAAAAAGTAGATACATCTAGACTAAATCCATACGGAACTTAACCTTCATGTTGATGTTGTAATCTCAGCAATGAGCTGTTACGTACATCTGAACAAGTCTGCTAGATGGCTTGCATGTCTCAGTCTTCCCATTTGTATTAGATGTTTTTGCAGCATCGAGGTGGTACTAATGTAGGTGGGGTTTTACTCTTTTTTTTTTTTTCTTTCCACTGTTCTTTGTCACTTGTGAAAGCCAGGTAATTTTTACCAAAAAGCATTTTACTGTCTATGCAGACTAGCTTTTTACTGTGTTGGTATTTTACATTTGGGTTCAGTGTATTTTCTTATTCTGTAATGGGAATGAATGAATGAGTATGGCTGGTCTGCAAGTATAGCATTACAAAAACACTCTGTTGTCTTGGAAGAATTCAAAACAAAATCTAGTGGTGAAGTGGCTAATCTTATATGTTATTTTTAGATGTATTGCAGTTCCCTTTCTTGTATGGTGATTAAATATTTCTGTGGATAAAATTTAAATGTTGAAATTAATATGTTTATAATAATTTTTTGTAGGTTTGCATTCAGCTGAGCTGCTACTGCCTTAAAGAAAATTAAGATGAACAGAGCAACGTAATTCAAAAGTCAGTGGTAATTTTACTAAGTTCCCCTCTTGATGACTCATAAAGCTTTAAATAATTAAAGTGTTATTGGGTAGACCTTAAACTGAGAGTCTGGTAAACACGGCACGTTTACCTTAGTTGTCAGTTTTTAAAAATATTTTTAAGGGCTTCTGCAATACTGGAGTATTAGTAGTAGTGAACTAATGAAAAAAAGAAAGGTTTTCTCTAAAGGCACTGCAGAGATGATTGGGAAGATTGCTTGTATTAAAACCTTGTAGAAAAAGTGAAGTTAAGCATGTGAAACTGTATTTAAAGATTACTACAGTGGTTTTTTTCCTTCTGTAGCTTGTTATTTTGACCACAAATGAAGGACTTGCATTTACATCAGTTTTATAAATTCTTGGACTCACTAAAGTTATATTCTATGTGTTGTCAGTATCTAAAAGTTGAACTAGCTTTGGTTTTCTGCTTTGGGTGGTCTTGCTGTTTTGTAATTTTAACTTGTATTTCAGTTTTGTTGTTTTGAAAACATGGAAACTGTGGAGCATGAATAGGAGGCTGTTTCTGTGATCTCTGGCTATGGTTTGTGATTCTTCTGTGTTGAGTCTTGGTGTGGCTGGTAATTGACTGGTAAGGTGAGCCACATGTGAAGGAACCAAACCAATAGAAAAGAGTGATCTTCCTCATTCCTGTGCTTGGTTCAATGTGTTTTGTTTGAAAGCATTTGGTAAATGGAGAGTTTAGGTGTGAGTGGTCATTTCATTTGATTGTTATCTACTTTATGCTCATGATATTTTAGGTGTTCACTTCTTAACTCATAGAAAAAGTGATGTGTCTCTTTTCTTCAAGCTACTTCAGTGCTGTGAGATACTTTTATCTCTCTTCAAGAGGCTCTCACTGAAATCTAGGAGCTTCTTCCCGCACTTAACTATTTTGGGTGACATCTTTGTCTAGATTCTTTCCCTTCTGGAAGTTTTGAAGAGTTTGCTTTTTAGCTTCATGTAATTAACTCTGTCTTTCCCCCTCTCTGTATGTTGGTAGGGTAATGCTTTTATTCTTATCACCGTGTTTACACTTGGGAAGTTGTGACCTCCCACACTTGAGAGGAAGGAAGCACCCAAAATTTGTAAATGCTCATTAGTCAAAAGGAACAACAAAAGTCAGAGGGCTCACCAAAAAATCGCAAAGTTTTGTTAGGAAATTATACATTTGGCTTTGAAACTGGTATGTTAGCCCTACTGTATAAGCACTGTATAAGCACATGGCAGTGGGGTTTGGATAAAGGGTGAAAGACAAAGGAAGAGGTGAACCCAAGAGAGGGCAACAGAGAGAAAGAAAAAGCGATCATGAGCTCTGCATGGCCCCTTCTGCAGTCACATCCCATTCTTTTGGGAGTGTTAGTACCAACAATCCTTTGTCTGTTTTATAGCAACAATCGTTGGTTGGCTCAACAGCCACACAGCTGTTGGTGTTTGGGACATACACACTACCCCTTCTGGGATCCTACAAAAGTGTATTTTATTTGTGTGCATAAGTGTTCTAAAAGGATTCAGGCATGTTTTATAACAGTGCTCTGTATCCTAAACAAAATTCATACACGGGTGAGGCCTATTGAGGAGAAAATGCCAAGCCTGCTGGCCAACTTTAATTTCTTCTCCAGGTTTTTATTTTTTAAGTGCTGACAGTCTGTTGAGTGGTTTGCAGATGACTATGAAGATAAGGTTCTTGCCCCCAAGAGCTTATACTTAAAGCCTTGATGTAAACATAGTTTTTGTAGAGGAATAACTGTCAGCAGTTTATGTCTTTTACTGATGTGTTTATTTTGGTAGAATCGTAAAATGAGTACATTTGTTTTGGCCAGTTCTTAAGAATGGTGTAGGTTGCTCTGCTGTGTGAAAAAACCGTTGGTGGGAACTTTTGAAAATAAGCACCCTTTAATATTGCACCAAAGCTGAAGTGGAATTACAGCTGTAAAATGATAAAGGCAAATTGTGCAGATATTTAGCTTTGCACAAGTTAATGTACTCTCTGTGCCTTTTCCCCCCCTCCATTCTAATGTGGTTATTGTGTTTAAAATGTGTGGATAAAACAGTGCAATGGTGACAGTGCATCAATAACTTCCGAGGAAGTTCCTTTTACTTATGTTTTTAGTAGTAGGAGTAAATTCTGTCCTGCTAGGTGGAGGAGAGAACAGGAGAAATATTTGGAGACCTTATTATAAATAAACGTGATTGAGAATTGACCTGTGTTTTGTTTTGGTTTTTGTTACTCTGTGTTTGAGCAGTAATTACTACATAGCAACTGATGATGATGCCCTATGTGGTGCTATCAACTCTTACACAGTCACCTCCTTTCATATTTTGGGTAAATGTAGTCAGGGAAACATCTGATATAGAGAATTGTTTCTCTGCTTTATATGCTCAGGATATGGCAGAACTTCTGCCTTTTTCTACTTCTGCTTCTTCAGATCCTTGTGAAGACTCCAAATTGGAAAATAATTCCTCATTATGTAATGTATGCTGACTGGGACAGTGATGTTACTGAACTCACACTTCAGCTTTTGGAGTTTGAACCTTGCAAAAGGGCAAGAGATTAGCGTTTCTCAAACTTTCTGCTTGATGATCAGTACCATTTAGCAGAACCATTAGACACTAAAGTGTGTAGAATTTCAAGCAGAAGAAACCTGGTTATGGTTTACCTTCAAATATGAAGTTATTTCATGTTATGAAATAATGTTGGGTTTTTTTTTTAATTACTCTACATTTTGGTACAGTGCCAGAAGAAACACTTTTTTTGGATAAGAAATCTTGATAATGTTATTTAAAGAACTTACTAACTTTGATTGTTGTGACATCTATATTTGACCCACAGAAGTGATATAATGCCTGTTGCTTGTGAACTGTGTGTATATGTAGAAAAGGTGATCATATGATAAAGCGCAGTGGTTGGGATGTCTAGAATACCAGTGTCCGCCCCAGGTCTGCTGACATTCTCGATCCTTATGTAGAACAAAGGGCTTGGGCCCTGAGTACAAATGAAGGTGGATTTTCATTTTTCTCTTTTGTCTGTTTGTTTGTTCTTTGCTAAGTCTCTGTAAAGCTAGATGTTAGGACTGTGGCTGTACTAGAGAATGTGCTGGCTTTGAATGGTTAAAAAACTGACCATTGCAATTTGTACATTTCTCATGCCTAGGCACCTCCTAAGACTTTTGGAAGTCGTCAGATTTGACAGAAGACCTTGTTCTTTTCTCAGTGTTCTACAGGAAGCTTTAGTTGCTATATTTCTTTTTAAAACATGAGGCAAGAAGATAAATTACAAATTGTATGGATATCTTTTGTTCTTCCAGCTTGTTCAGTGATAGAATACTCATCAGGTCAGTGCTGTGTTGGATGGTGGGGACAGCATAACTAAAGCTAGAGGTTTTGTCTGGCTCTGCAGTAGCATGGTTGAAAAAGAAGAGGTTTCAGCTGAACTATTTTAGAACTTTAAATGTCTCCTGACCCAATGGGAGAGACCTTTAAAGGTTCTGATCTCTTTTATTGAAGGTGTGAGTCTTTGACAATAAATTTTAGAGGACCAAAAAACCTGAGAGAATTGCTGTATGCAAACTTAACCTTTTTGAAAGATGACTTTACATTGAAACGTAGCTGGGGGTGACATGAACGTTTTAGCCTTCAGAGCATTAAAAGCGTGATCGCAAAGATGTAAACTTATTTTGTTGTTGTGGCTGTTCATTTACATGGAGAAAAAAGAAAGAAAGAATCTTTAGTTGAAGTAGTCATGCTTTTGCAGCAATTTGTGATCGGTAGAAATGCCTCCAGTTTCAAAAACTCGTAAAGCTTGTGTAACAGTTTGAATATTATTTTCTGTTTTATTAACATGCAAATTCTGGATAGCAAAATAACTTAAAATTAGCTTATTTTGCTTTGTTAGAACTACATGAATTGCAGAGTAGTAAGGAAGATATCTAATAAAATGTGTCTTTAAAAGGGGAATGAAAATTGAGACAGGGTTTGAACAAAAGTATTGTTTAGCGCATACACTTGGCAACTTCAAATTAGTGCTACTCTTGACTAGAGATAACAGAAAAGGAGAATCTGTTATCATAGGAAGTGATAACAGTGGTGCAAACCACTTAAGGAAGGGGTTTTTTTTGACAGAAGGTGTGTTTTGTGGCAGAAGAAAAAAACTTTTGATGGAATGGGTTATTTTGAAGGCCTGCTTAGGCCTCCAGAAAAGTGCTGAATATTTCTGTATGTGAAGAGTGTGTAGTCTGATGGTTGGGACTTGTGCACATAGTTTCTTTGCCTAATTCAGACCAACACTTAGAAGTTTTTCTGTGGCTCATGCTAAGTAGCTGAAGTAAACATTTGAAGCTGACCCATGATGTGAGGACTGAAGGGAGAGTTTACTCTGTAGCTTGATTATTCTAGAATTGCTCTGTCTTAGTGAGAACTTTGCCTATGATGATGCTTCTTCAGAAAAAAGAAATGACTGTGGCAAATGCCTTTATCTTTTTGTTGTGATGAAATGCAGTACAGTTGGTGTTTGGCATATCTTTGATAGTAAACATTCAGTTTTAATCCTAGAAAACTGTGTGCCTCTTTTCTCTTCTTGTTAGATGGTCAGTCTTTTCTAAGGCGTCATACAGACTGACTTGTTGGACCTTCTGAAATTCAGATATATGCTTCGTTTGCCTTCTGATGAAATAAGAACTTCATACACTTGCTGGAGCTCATTACCAAGAAAGCAAAGCAGCCCAGCAGTAGCGACAAACTTGAGACACTGAATGTAACCTTTCTCCTCCTCTCATGACACTATAGTATACTTTAATTCTGATGGTTTACAATCTTCTTTTGCCACATTTATAAAAATTATACTAAAAATTATGATGACAAGATGAGGGTGGGTTGTCAAATGAGTGTGTAGTTAAGGTTCCTACATGTAGTTTATGTGCTGTACTTAATGTTATATATACTTAATGTAATAATAATCTGTGAGGCATTAGGTAAAAGATCATAGGAATGTGCCACTTACGTATGTGTACGTGATAATTTTAGACTTCCCTGAAAGATATGAATGTGCATATATCTGTGTGCTTTTAACATTTATTCTGTTCATGGTTTTCTCTGTGCAAATCAATAGACTGAACTTCTAAACTGGTCTTCAGGGAGCATCAGGAAATTTAAATTTGTGTCTCCCTTCTAACTTTGTGAATTTGTGGTCTGAAGCTTTCTTTTCTTCCCTGTTACTAAATTTGCTATTCCATTCACAAGCTTCAAGCATGCCTAGCTAGTTGAGTTCATATTGCCTTTTATTTTAATGGTCTTCTGACAATCTCTGAAATACTCAAGTGCCATGGAAACCGTTTCCTGTAAAATGATATAGACTCTCCACAGAGAATGAGAGTATAGAAGCTGAAAATACAGAACTGTTTTTCCTTGTCTTTTGATGATGAATTTGACTGTCAGGTTTTTTTTTTTCCCCAATGTTTAGCATTAGTTTAAAATCTGTTTTTCCTACAATATTTTGGTCAGCTCTATTTATCAGGATGTAGTTAGTAATATGGCCAAAAGCACAGAAACTTCTAGTAAATCAAGTTTTTAAAGTGTGTAAGTTTTTTGACTATTTTACT